ATTTTGGACAAAGGAGAAAGGAGAGACATGGTCTTAGATTTTAGAGTTTGAAATAGGCAATTTACAGGTAATTGAAGAAGAGCTTTCAAGTAAATTTTTGCTAGGCAATCCATAAACAATGAGATGGAGGGGAGGTAACCTAATAAACATGCCTCTAGATGCCCTCCCACCCACCAAACTCAATTCAAATTAGACCAAGGTGAATACGTTCCGATTTCTTCCTTGAAGCCAGTTTTTCAATCTGAATCTCTTGGGCAGAATAAAGGGTAAAGGGTCATTCTTTTTGATTTTTTTTGTTAATAACCAGCTGAAAATGAATATCCCAAAAGGCACAGCTTTGGGGGTGGCAAAACTTTGGTTCCCTTTAAGGACTACCTTAATTATGTATTTTTAATTATATTCTTTCCTGATTTATTCTCAAAAGAGAGCAAACAAATAACACATGGGAAGCATTTTTTCCCCTGGGACAAAAAGCCCACTTCCTGTATTTGCAGTCTTTCACATCTATTTAATCGCAACAACCCTCTGGTCACCATGCAGTGATGGAAAAAAAAAATAAGAGCTTCTCAACTCTAAAAGTCTACAACTTGGGGAATGAAGATTACATAAAGCCAACTGGTTTTGTGTGTGCATGTGTATTTTTTTTTTTAACCAGGTCATCCCAATAAAATGCATGCACAATGAACCAATTATGGTATTTAATGTTGTCATTTATTTCCAGGATTAAACTATGCAACATTGCCCTTGGGCATTAACATTCTAGAAGAACACCAACCTTGAATTCAACCACAAGCCTCACACCTCAAACCTCCTGACTCTTAGTATCAGTGAAAGAGCTATTCATTCACCTTCACTGTTTGTAGCTGAATTAAGAAAGGATTGGTAACTTGACTTTTCAAAAATGTAATTTAATCCAAAATCAACTATTCAACCACATCTTTTTAGCGTAGATTGCCAGAAAGCCAGGGAATAAAAGAATGAGACAGAAGTCTCTCAGTGAACCTATGATCTGTGAGAGAAAACAGAGCCTGGGGTTCAGAGGATGCTCAAATTCAGTGAAGCCCGGAGAACAGTGTTGATACCGGCATGAATCTTCAGCAAAACCCTAAAGAACTGGTAACACTTCAAAAGACAGGTAATGGAAGAAGGACAATAATATGAAGGGGAGAAAATAATCTACTTTTAAGAACGTAGGAAATGAGAGAGAAAATAAAGGCATACAAAGGAAATTGGCACCTGATTTTAGAGATTTTTTTTTTTTTGTATAGGAAACTGACAGCCCTTATCTGAACTAGACTTGGAAATATTATTCTTATAGGATTATATTTGAAGAAGTGAATTAACCACTCATCACCCTTAGTTGAGTTTACTGTCACTTAGTATGTGCAGGCACCATTCCAAGTTTATAATTGTACTGGAATAAAATAATCTGTCTTTATGACTATTTCACTGAGCCTGACATGTTGGTTAGTGACTTCTGCTTAGCCTGGCATGTAGATATGCTAATCATTAAAGGAATCTAGCCTGTAGTTTAGAAATTACTGAAACAACCTCCCTGCTTGAAACTACCTCCCCAAGGAGATAAGGAAGGTGATGCTGGAGGGACGAGTCCTTAGGGAGGACTCAAGCCCAAGCCAAAAGGGTTCTTGGTTTCAAAGAGGAAAGAATTCAAGACTCCACCTGGACAAGAGGTTGAAGTGGAAAAATGTCTTTTATTGAGCAGAGGGAACAACCAAGAAAAGCCAATCCACAGAGAGTAGCAGACTGCCCTCACAAGAGCAAGAAGAGAGATCCTAACTGTCTCTAGAGGCTGAATTTATACATATGTTTGTAATTTCTGGTATGGGGAAACAGAGAATGGAAAAAGGCTGAGATTTACTTTAACCTTTACAAGGTGTATTTTGTGGCCTTGTGTTTTCCCTCTGTAGTATAGTAAACAATAACGTATGGGTGGGTAGACACTAATCAATCTTCGCAGGAATTTTCTTTGTCTGGAGGCTCCTCATGGTCTGCTTGCACCTCCAGTCAGTGAGTTCCATGTCAGGCAGCATGTAGCAGGTCCCTAACTGAACTTTGACTTTCCGTGCCCCTCTCCTATATTAAAGCTATGTACAAAACTGATTGTCTATCAAAAGATTAATAGTAACTTTGTGACTGAGACCATCACAACTAGAGTTTGAAGTTTCACCATCCCCCTGGGATCCTTGCTAATAATCAGATGTCTGTGGTCACCAATTACCTCCTGACCTCAATCCTTCAGGTTACCACTTCTTCTGACATAAAAGCCTGAATTTGTACTTTTTCAAGATGGTTCTTTAGGACACTAGCCTGCCATCTTCTTGGCTTGCTGGCTTTCCAAATAAAGTTGCTTTTCTTGCCCTGACTCTTTGTTGTCACTCAGTTTATTGGCTATTGTGTAGTGAACAGAATAAACTTTCACTCAATTACATATTTATTTACCGTTATTATTCACGACAATCCTATGAGGTAATTTCCATCAGTAAAAATGAAACACAATAATGTTCGGTAACTTGTTCCTGCTCAATCATCTGAAAAGTACTGGGGGTAGGTAGGGTTCAACTTACATCTAGGCCACACTGTAAACTAGGCCCTTTTACTCCACTGCATGTCTCTCATGAAGACGGGAATTAAAGAAATAACAAGAGAGTGGGCAGCTGGGATAGATTTGAGAAATATTCTAGACACCCTAGTTGAATGAATGTGAAGATAAAATGAGAGTGCTGAGTCAAAATTAAATGCTATTAATGAAATTAGGAAGAATAGGAGAGACATGTTTGGAAGGGATGATGAGCTTGTTTGAGCATGCTGAACTTGACCTTGGCAGGATCAATTAGATAGCTATGTCTAGCAGAAAGTTACGAGTCTGGAGGTTGCTTGGCCAGATCAGAGCTAGTATAATAGGAGTGAGCACTTGACTCAGGCACAAAATTTAGGAGTTTGGCAAAGAAAAAAAATCAGTAATCAAGATCACTCATATTTTAATGTAATATGTTTTGAAATATCAAAATTAATAAATTATAAACCAAATATCAAAAGTTTAAGTAAAGAAAGGCTGGTATTTCTTTTAAGGCCTCAGCCTCCAACATGGTCCCATGCAGCACTACTATCAATTCTGCCTTTACCATAATTTTTCACATTAATTTTGATTTTTTAAAATATTGCCTCAAAACAGTATTGATCTTGATTACTAAGCTTTGTTGGTGCTTCAGACCAGGTCTAAGTAAGAGGGAATTTCACTTACCTGTTCCCAAATTTTCTTTGTATTTCTTCACTAGAAGGAAATTATTTCCTTTTATTTTTATTTCTTCACTGAAAGGAATCCCCTCACTAAAAGGAAAGGAATTATCAATAAAACTGAAATTGAACTTAATAACTCTGACTATAAGACCAGAGCACAAGTTCTCATTTTTTTTCCCTAGAAAGAGAAAGAAAAAATGATTTCCACTTTGCAGATAAGGAAACCAAGATATTTAGTGACTCAGTGACAAAGTTAAAACTAAACTTCTTGGTGCTGCATTTAACTCATCAGATCAGAAGCCCCTCTAGGAACAAGCTGGAAAAAAATGAAAATATTACATGTGCTTATGTAAACAAATCTTGGCCAAATACTTTGGATTGAAAAAATAAGTTTTTGCAAAAAGCATGTGCTTTTGCATTAGACACAGTGGGCTTGAATTCCTTTTTAGGTGACCTCTAACAAGTTCCAAAGCTTTGGTTTCCTCATTTGTAAAATGAGCCTTATGCACCTGCCTTTCATTGTCTGGGTTAAGAGGGGGAAAATAATGTAGCTAGTGATATTTATCAGCCAGGATCTCAACCTACAACAGATACACAGAGACACACACATACATACACACACACACACACGCGCGCGCGCGCGCACGCACACACACACATGCAAACAAACAAAAAAAACAGGAAAATTTTAGATGTTCTTAAGTGGCTGGTGAAATGGAGGTAAACTTTATTGCACGTCTCGTACTTCAGTTTTTTTGTTTTTTGTTTTTGTTTTACCGTGGTAATGCAATTCCTATTAAAAGTTCATTAAGGAAATAAGTAAGTTATACAGTATTAGTAACTTTCCGGAGCTCTAGTAATTTGGGAATCAATGACAGGAAATGCACATGCATAAAAATCGTCTTTCTTACTCTTTACCTGGTGAGCACTGATTTGCTTTTTAAATAACACAGCATGTAACGGTAAACCCCTTTTGCCATTTCAGCTTCGGTTGAATGAGTGCAAAATACAGAGTCCACCTCCACCTGTTTTTTACAGTGCTTTGCTCGTGCTGGAAAAGCAAAATCTGTAGAGAAAACGGTGAGAAAATTAGCACTTTGAAGCCGGGTAACAGGTAACTCGTAAGGCAGTGCAGCCACTGTATCACAGCCAAGGGCAGCCTAACCTAAGAACACCTCAGGAGGAGGGCTGCTGTTTTTTCAGCAACTTTCTTGGCCAACGGAGGCAGGTGGTGACTAAGAGCTTCAGCTGCTGAACCCCCGGGGATTACAGAGCTCTGTGCCCAGGGCAAGACCTCCAACCTTCCAGGTTTCCAAGCTTTCCGAGGAACTTGGCGTGCTGTTTTTCAAGGCATGTTCGAACTGGGAAGATCAAGACATAACCTTCAGCCGTCAAGAAGAGAGAGCGTGACCAAGGAAATGATGGCGTTGATGTTTAGGGTGATTGTTACCTGGATAGCCAATTCCCCGCCCCCCCCGCCAAAATCGCGTATAATTGTTAATCTCCTTCATCCGTTGCCAGGGAAAACGTCCTGACTTGGAGGAGGTATTTCCAAGAGTTTCAACACATTCCCTCCGGATCTCAAGGTTTTAAAACCCCGATTTCCTCTTCCCCCAGGGAAGGGCGTAGGAGTTAGGTAGTGGGGGCTGTGCTCCAGCTGGGAACAGATCCTCTCCCCGCGAGCAACTCCTGCCTGGGCACTTAGCCCCTCCCTTTTCGGGGCCCCGCCTCCGCGCAGGGCGAGCCCTATAAAGTTGGGGCGAACAGGGTCCCTCTGGCCGCTCTCGGTTCAGTCCGACGCCAAGGTCGACAACGTCCTCTGCCTCCTCTCCGGAGCATCGCGTGCCAGTCATGGCCCAGGAGCTGTACCACAGGGAGTTCGCCAGGGCGGGCAAGAAGGCGGGTCTGCAGGTTTGGAGGATCGAGAAGATGGAGCTGGTGCCTGTGCCCCCGAGCGCTTACGGCGACTTCTACGTTGGGGATGCCTACCTGGTGCTGCACACTGCCAAGGCGTGTCGGGGCTTCACCTACCGTCTGCACTTCTGGCTAGGTACGGGCGGCGGGCACCGGACCTGGACGCGCCCAGGTTCGGGAGGGGCGAGGCCACAGGGAGCTAAGATTTGCCTGCGAAGGGGAAAGAGAGAGCAAACGGGACTGTCCGGGAGCCCTGGCGCCAGTGCGTCCCTGTGGGGCCGAGCCTTCGGGGGTGGCCACTTTTTCCCCGCCCGGGTCCGCAGCTGCGAACGCCGGGCGCTGCGAAGTCGGGAGCAGTTTTATTCCCCTTCCTTTGATCTTTGCCGTGTTCCGCTCTCGGGTTTTGGGGCTGGTTCCTCTAGCTGGTTCCTCCCTCTTTCACCTTCCAGCTCCAACCCCAGTCCTTGCCAGAACCGCTGTGCGGCGCATCGAGGTGCTGGCCAAGTCCCGCTCACCTGCGGACAAGTTAAGTCCTGGCTCCCCTGTCAGGGAGGAGATGAAGTCGTTTGTGGGAATCTGCCACAGCTGGCGAGAAGTTTTGTTGTTGTTGTTGTTTGCTAACTAATCCTTTTTCTTTTTTCCTGTTGCATTTCTCTACTAATTGCGTTGATTAATGTCTGGCTGCTTTAAGTCAGGAGCCCACCTGCCCCACGTGGCTCGCAGTTGTGGTTAACGTTCCTGTTTATTAGGATGCTGGCCACCTTGGATACAGACAGGAAACAAACAATACAGATATTGTCAATATAAAAAACTAGCTTTTTATGGCCTATTTATGTATTTAAACGAGCTGCTTTTATAATTATTTTTAAATTTAATATTTATCTATTTGAACAAGGACATTCTGGAACAAAACTGCTCCTTCAGCAGTAATTATTTTGGGCTGCACTCATGCCAGACTCTCAGGACACTGGGCCTTGTGTGTTCTACTTTTTCCACCTTCTACTTTTACTCGTAAACATCCTGAATGTCCAGCCTCTCCCTGTGAGATCCTGGGCCAGTGGGCACACCCCATCTAACAACGTGCTGATTATCTGAGCCTCGCTGACGTTTCAAATTAGCTTGCCTCCCTTGGACTTGTGTTTCTTATTTTTCATTTTACTCCTTAGTGTACGGGGAAAAGCACACAAAAGCACACACACATATACATTTTGAAGACCCTGAAAACCATTAAAAAAGTCACTATTTTTACTTCTAACACTTGGAGATTTTAAGGGAAAAAAAGGTAGAAAACATTAAGAAGCAGTGTTCTCAATGTTAGTCAACATTTGGAGCAGATACTCAAATAACAAATACATAGAGGGAAGAAGGATGCTTTTCATTGTAACATTTGGTATTAACATTTTGTGTTTGAGGATGCTGAAGCTCATTTTGGTTTCCCATTGCAATGTCATTATTTTACACCCCCAAACCCCCCACAACACTGAAATCCTAATATATAACCATGTTCATGAATGAATGATGCCAGATAGAATAATAATGCCCCCACCTTGGTCTTCTTATCTACAACTTGCATGTGGAATGAATAAAAGTGTCGGAAATGCTGCATTTGCCATTTTGGTGAATTGAAATGTGGAAGAACTTCATATCTTTCTGTAGACAACAGTTGAGTTTGACTTTGTGAGAAGATTGCAAGATGGTTTTGAATACACTTTTTTAATTCTATAGGTTCTTCCTTCTCAATAAGGTCTTTGAGCACTAAGTTTCTAAGGTCTACACAGAATCATTATTAATTATTGACTCTTAATTATTCATTTAGTGCTCACCAAGTTCAGAAAATGCTTTGGGCAGAAGTTTCTTATAGTCTTCAAGATCTGCTAAAACTGAAGTTATGATGTGTTAATGAATAAATTTATTTCTTCAGTAATTATTCAACGTGCCCAGCTTTGTAAAAGGCATTCTTGCATATGAATTATTTATGAAGCTTTCCTGAAAGTTTATAATCTCAAAATTACAATGGATCAAAACATGATATAAGACAGGTAAAATGTGATAAGCGCTGTGAAATGTGAAAAGGACTCTCAGTGCCTGTGGAGAGGAGGAAGCAGAGAAGCCTTGAGAGAAAAGAGGAACATGAGGGTAATTGGGAGGGATCTTGTGTCAAGAGAAGATCATGGAGAACATGGAAAAGTTTAGAATAAAATAACCAACAGGGCTTTAGATGAAATTGTTCAGGAGCTCCTCCTACTCCTGTTCCCTGAAGTGAGCAGGATTTCATCCAGAATATTTCACTAAGAATTCGGATGAATTCATGACAATAAGACAGATTGAATGAAAGTTCCAAAAAGGAGAGCTGAAAGTTCAAGAAAAAGAAAGTAGAGATAGGAAATCAGTTGGAAGGAAGATGAAAGAGAGTGAAGTTAAAATCAGACTGGGATGAAAAGGATGCATAGGGGAGAAACAAAGAAACAGGTCAAGAAAGAAGGGAAAAGGGGAAAAGGAAGAAGTTGGACATAAAATAGGAGAATAGAGAGTCATCTTTCCTGGTCTCTCCCTCTGTGTCTTTCTATAACACCCTTGCACATCTCAGATTATTTCATTTTACTGTTTATATTTGCAAAGTAAGAATTTTTGCATGAGAGTGTTGCATTGGTCCTTCCTCAACATTTCAGCTTTGTACCTAGTGCTTTAAATGCATCCACCATCTGCTTCTGGTTAAGTACACCATTATATATTCATGAGCAGGACTAGATGATAAAGCTACTGCCTGTCACATCCCAGGTCTACACTACAAACTCCTACCCTCACCATTTCTCCTTGCCAGTTTTAAGCTTTACATAAATATATTTGAGGGCAACAAACAATTTCAGTGTAACTAGCCTATGCTGTGCTCTATGCAAGGTGCTGGGGATCCAAAGAATTGGGTTACAGTATACAACATACAATACAAGGAACTCATACAAGGGCTGGTCAGGATGCTGAGAAACTGAATTTTTCTCTGTCACTTGGGGAGGTGGATATAAAATGAGAGATATGAGTATTATGGAAAAGAATTTGGCAGTTTCTTACAAAACTAACATGTAATTACCATATGGCCCAGCAACTGCATCCGTGGACATTTATCCCAAAGAAATGAAAATTTATATTGATGTAAAAACCTATACATGAGTATCTATAGCAGCTTTATTGAATAGATCAAAACTTGAATCAGCTCTGAGGTCCTTCAACTGGTGACTGGTTAAACAAATTGTGGCACATCAATAACAAGGAATACTACTCAGCAATAAAAAGGAACAAACTTTTGATACACACAGCAACTCAGATAAACACTCTGGCAATTATGCTGAGTAAGTGGAAAAAAAACTAATGCCAAAATGTTCCACACTGTATGATTTTATTTATATATCATTTTTGGAATGACAAAATTTTAGATTTGTTGTAACCAGAGGGTAGGGATGGGGTGGGGTCAGGGGGATGCAGGAGGGAGGTGGGTGTAGTTATAAAAGGGAAACAGATTTTTTGGCAATGGCCTTATATAGTATTTTGACTGTGATGTTGGATATACACATATGATAAAATTATATACACACGAATTCAATGTACAAACACGGATGAGTATAGGTAAAACTGGGGAAATGTGAAAAAAATAAATACCTTGTATCACTGTCAAATCTTAATTGTGGTACTGCACTGTACTATACTTATATACCTGCACATTAGTATACTGTGATACACTAAACTATATATAAACTAAAAAAACTATATAAGGTTTTTTCTTTTTTCTTTTTTTCTTTCTGGCTGCTTGTCATTTATTTTCCACTGTGCACGACACATGGTTATGGGATGTCAGGAAGGCTTGTGTGTGTCTTGGGTAGTAAAGAGCGGGGCTCTTCCAACTTCCTTTTCAGTGTTTTGCTGTTTGGATATAGAAGAACGCAAATGCTTCTGCTTGCTGCAGTCGACCCAGCCTATGGGGTAGGCGAGGAGTGGGGAGAGGGGGGAGAGAGAGAGCGGGGAGGGAAGGGGCTCAAAAGAGCCTAGCGCCTCTGGAAGTGGGTAGCTGGTGGTGGCCGCTCAGGATGGGGTGCAGGGTTGGCTGTGCCGGGCTGGCTGCCAGCCTGCTTCCTGGTGGCTGCCCCAGCCCACGTCACAGGTGGTCCCGCTGCTGGAGGCCTGGGGAGATTCCGAGTGCTCTGGGGACTTCAACGTTGTGGCCTTGAACGGGAGAGTGGACTTCCTAAAAAAAACTAGCCCACCAGTGAGCCGGCTCAGCGTTGGGAGGGCCGGGGTGGTGGACAATGGCATCCCCCGGTACTTCGCACTTCCGCTGGAGCTGTCACTGGACGTGGAACCCAGGTGACGCTGGTGGATGTCAGGGGTGGCACCAGTGAGCCGCAGGAGGGATGGCTGCGAAGTCTTGCTTGTGGGCTGGGTGGAAACTTTGGCAGCAACCCCTCAGGTGCCTCGGCATGATCACGGGCAGGGGGAACTGGGTGCTAGGCCACGGAGCCCATTTCCAGAGGAGACCGCAGGAGGCTGCTCCACGACCGAAGGGTCCTGGGGTCCCTGTACTATAGTTTTACAAAGTGTTACCACTGGGAGAAACGCATCCCACTGATCTATGTGTGTATCTTTCCACCAGTACCGCACTGTCTTCATTTCTGTAGCCGCAGAGTGGGCACTGATATTAGATAGAGTCATTTTTTCTAGTTTAGTTTTCTTTGTCAAGATTGTTTTAGCCATTCTAGGGCCTATGCCTTTTCATATAAGTTTTAAAATAAACTCATATAATCTATAATAAATCTTGCTGTGATTTTGCCAGGAATAACATTAAGGCTACAGATCAACCTGGAGAAAACTGACATCTTTATTATATTGAGTCTTACAGTCCATGACACTATGTCTTTACATTTATCATCATCTTTGATTCTTTTTATCACCATTTTGTAATTTTTAGCATATAGATCATGTACCAGTTTTGTTAAATAGACACCTTAATTTTTCAGAGTGATCATAAATGGCATGATGTTTTCATTTCAATTTACTCATGTCCATTGTTTCTATATAAAAAAAGAGACCGCCTTTTGTTATCAATTTTTAACTTGCTATCTTGCTGAACACACTTATTTAGGAGGGCCTTTTAAAATTTATTTATTTGTAGATTTCTTAAAATTTTCTATGTAGATCATCCTCTCCTTTCTAAATAGAAACACTTATTTCTTCTTTTCCAGTCTGTATGCTTTTCTCATCCTACCCTGTTGCAGTGGATAGAACTTCTTGTATAATGTTGAGTACAATTAATGAGAGTAGGCAAACTTGACCTTGTTCCTAGTCTTAGGGGAAAGCTTTCAGTCTTTCACTATTAAGAATTATGTTAGCTTAAATTTTTTTTTTTATCAAGCTGAAATGTTCCCCTGTATTCCTAACTTGGTAAGTTTTGTTCTTTTATACATATACAATAATGTAACATAATGTACTATAATAACACAAAACAATATAACATTGGTAAAATTACTATAGGGAAAATAAGTGAAGTTCACAAGTTACTGAGTACTTGCTAGGATTTCATCATGATACAATTGAATTTGATTCTGGTTTTCACATTCAAAGACTGCTGTTAGCTTCATTAGTGACTTTTCAACCTCTTTAGAGCAAGGACGCTGGCTTATTCATACTGATTGTTTTTGCAGCCTAGCATAGTACATAAATATCAACAAGTGATAATATAATTTAATTACCTTACTTCCAGTCCATTCATTAATTATATGTCCAGTTACACCTACCTAAAGAGACTTGGGTTTCAACTTGTACTCAAGTAAGAATGTTTATGTCAAGCACAACAACCTTAATGGCTTGGTATTCACTTTGATTTAAGTTTTCCTTTTTTAAAGCATTACCATACAAATCTACATCTATGCCTTTTTTCAGTATTCTCATTTATGGATGGGAAAGCGGGCTTGAGAATGATGCTGGAGTCCTTTTGGACCAAAGAATTACATGTGTGTTTTTTGAAGTGTGTTATACAATTTCCTTTGACCAAAACAAGTTCACAAAATATATCATGTCAAATGCTCTTCTAGCTACTAAATTTTTTGTTAAGGAGAAACTTGCTTTACAGGTCCCCTTTGAGAGTAGTAAGAATTGTAAAGAAATCTAATTCTTTCTTCCATTTTGCTGATTGATTTCCTTTCTTCAGCTTTGGTGAATATTCTCATCTGGGGTTTCAGGTGAACTATGAGGTCTGTCCAGAAGGTATCCATCCATGCAATATAAAAAACAGAGACATTTGTTTTAAAAGAAGATACAAGAAACATTGTACTTAGGACAATGATGCCTCAGCCCCCTTCAAAGTGGGCACCTTGGAACCTCTCACAGTTCTCCCAATTGCCATCAGCTGCCCTATCAAATTTTCTTAATCTCATCAATGGTCTAAAAATCTCTTCCCTATAAAAGGTAATTTTAGTTTTGGGAAAATCCGTAAGTCTCAGGGTGCCAAATCTGGTCTGTATGGAGGCTGAGTCACCTGGGTGATGTGATGTTTCGCCAAAAAATTCTGCACAAGATGTGGTGCATGAGTGGGCACGTTATAGTGATATAGTTTCCAGTCATCACTTGCCCATAGCTGCGGCCTTCTGAATCATTCAAACAGTTTCCTTGGAGGAATGTCCAAGCTTAATGCCAAATCTGATGCAGGTTCATTGCTCTACTTGCTCAGTCATTTTGAATGCAATGGCCACAATTCACATGTTCACTCGAAAGCATCTACCACCCCCACTGACTAGTACAGTAAAGTTGTCATTGTTCACACCTGTGCATTTCACTCCTCTCTCCTTGGCTGGCAAATTACATCAATGTCACATAAACCATTTTCATTAAATTAACAATTGCTTGACTTTTTCCAGGTAGACCTCATATAGTATTGTTACAGCTTCTAACTTTTATGCATCAATTATTCATGAAGGAAAATAACATACTCCTGTTACCATAACATTTTACTGGTAATGAGAGTCTAAGTATACATAAAAAGAATCTAGAATTTTAATTTCAAAGAGTCTGTGCATCAGAGTCACAGATAACTCGTTCTGGGTGGTGGTCTACCACAGGTCAACTTTATGCTCCCAGAAAAGGTACTTGGCATCTGTAAGCCTCCAAGTCCACCGTTGTAACATGGTACAATATAGTTTCTGCTGCACGGGCTTCTTCAAAGATTAAAGGAGATCATCCATGTAAAACACTAACAATGCCTAGCCCATAGCTAAGATATAAGTATATAAATGTTAGCTATTACTATTTTTACAATCATTTATGACTTTCACACAGCTCAGATGTAGTAAGGGTTTTGAAGTGCCTTTTATAAAATCTGAGTTCCCCTCAGGACTGTCTTGGTTCTGATTTCCCTGTACGCTGAAGATGCTGGTTTTAAAAACTGGTGTTTCCACCTCAGTGAGGTTGCCTGGATTGGATCTGTATTACAATTTTAAAAATTAAACGTGTCATTTGTTCAGTTCCTGGGACAGTAATACATACATTAACATTCAATTGGTGTGAGCATGCTACTTCCTTTCTTCTCCCTTACACTTCAGAGAATATCACAGCATTAAGGGAGTGAAGTTGGGACAATCGGACTCAATAAGGGAAAAGTCAAGTTATGTTTTTTTTCCCCATTCTAACGTACATTTTCTTAAGTTGTTTAGCTGTGGCCTATCATGTGCATATTCCTTACAAATACTAACATATTGACATTGGATATTAAAGATTGATGCTAATAAAAGCTAAAAGAGTTTTATTGTACTAAGTGAAATAGCCGGGCAATGAAAGACAAATACCATATGATCTCACTCATAACTGGAATCTAAGGAACAAAATAAACTAATGAGCAGAGTAGAATCAGAGGCACAGAAACAAGGGACAAACTGACAGCTGTTAGAGGGGATGGCAGAGGTTGGGACTGGTTGAAAGAAGGTAAAGGGACCAGACAAAGAGCATACACACATATGCATCACTCCTGTATGTGAACAGTGGTGTGGGGATTGTGGGAAGGGGGGTGCTGGAGGGAGGGGGCCAAAGGGGGAAAACTAGCATAAAAATAGAAAATTTAAAGGCTAAAACAATTTCAAAATGTTTTTAGAGCTTGATGTTATTGACTGAATGAATCTGAATCCAACTAGAATGTATTGTTATAACTTCGTGAGCATATTCAGACAGTGGTGTTTTGTCTTTTTAATTTTAAAAAAGAATTGGAAAGCAGGAACAACATTATTTTAGTTGTTAGCAACATAATATTTCATATTACACCATTTCTGCTGAAAGATTGTTCTGTTGAAGATGATTTGCTTTATGGGAGAGAATTCAAAAATATTTCCGAGTTTTTTACTATCAAAAATTCTGCCATCATCCTTTTATTTGCTTGACCAATGAGGCACTTTCGTTTGCTGTTTCAGGCAAGGAGTGTTCTCAGGATGAAAGCACCGCGGCTGCCATCTTTACTGTGCAGATGGACGACTACTTGGGCGGCAAACCAGTGCAGAGTAGAGAACTTCAAGGATATGAGTCTACTGATTTTGTTGGCTATTTCAAAGGAGGTTTGAAATACAGGGTAAGTAGCTCTCAGTTTCTGCTATGACCCCTTTCTCTTTCTATCCATCCACACTTCATGTCTTCATTAGAGTAAATGTACATGTTTTTTAAAACAATTTTATTTATTTATTTTTCCTCCTCACTCAAGGACATGCTTATTTATGTGTTTATTTTTTTATTTAGAGAGAGGAGAAGGGAGGGAAAGAATGAGGGAAAGAGAGAGTGAGAGAAACATTAATCTGAGAGAGAAATATCAATCAGATGCCTCTTGTGTGTACCCTGACCAGGGTCTGAACTTGAAACCTAGGCATATGCCCTGACTGGGAATTAAACCATTGAAACTTTTGGTTTTCAGGATGATGCCCAGCTAACTGAGCCCCACTGGCCAGGCGAGGGCAGAGTTTTTTGTTATGTTGTTGTTTTAATCTGTTTTGCTCACTGATATATCACCAATACCCTCTAGGCACATAGTAAGTGCTCAGTAAATGTTTGTGGAATGTATAGAGCAATATGTGAACTATTCGGATTTTATTTCATTTAGTAAGTTGACTTTTAATAAAGTTAAGAGCCTTCAGTTATGTTGTCACAGGAATTATTGAAGTAAAATTATTTCAATAGTTAAATATTGGTAAACTGTGTAGTAACAGTTTTTGTTTTTGATATTCTGAAGAAACTCTGAATTTGCTGCAAGTAACCAATTATGTGGGAATCTCAACTCTTCTAGAATATCTTAATACAGTATTTATAACAATTATAACTTCCGTTAATACAAAGAATTCAACAGACATTTCCCATATAGTGTTGTTTGATCTTGGAAGCGATACAAATGAAACCATTGAGTCAAACATGTGTGGTTCGGTCTCATAAATTCAAATGCACATCCACTGGCATGTACACACATTTTATGTGTATTGGCTTTATTTTTGAAAATTAAAGGAAAACACAAAGTGTTAAGTAGTTCTGTCCCTGTAAGGCAATTTTCAGTAAAAGATAGTTTTTGAGAGGAAATCTCCCAGTGGCCTTTGCAAACTGGCCTTCCTTCACTATCCCCCCTGCTCCTGGGGCGTTCAGACAATGTGTGAGGAATACCCTCCCTAGACTAACATTTTAGAAACAGTTCTTTTCAAAATCAAAGATGCCCCAACAGGTATTCTACAGAGCCCACTACTCTATAGCATATTAGCCTAGTGAAGACCTAAGACCTCAGAGCTAAACTAGAATTCAGAAGAGATACTAAACTTGCCTGCTACAATGCCAGGGTTTATTTTTACTGTCACCTGATGAGAGACCTAGTTGAATATTTTGTGATGCCATTAAGATGAGTGCAAAACACTGAAAGTTCTCATATCTCTTGGAACCATTTTTCTGCTCTAGGATATCATGCAACCTAAACATGGAACTATTACCTCTCATTGTATTTAATTCACATGAATCCCTACAGTTTGTCACATGGTCCTGAAACCTCCTTTATGTCAGCGAACCCAACCTCCTGTAAAAGCTTGGTCGTATAGTTTCTAGAAGCATGTGCTGTGTCATCAGAATGGTTATGAACCCCTTTTTTCCACATATTACTGGTTGGCCTCAGGGCCAGTGTGTAAGCTTTCTGTGCTGAGTTTTCTCAAATGTGCAATGGGTATAACAACAGCTTCCTCATATAAGTGTTGTAGGGATTAAGGATTGAATTAAAGAATAAAATACTTATGTAATACATACACAATCAATAGGAAATTACACTATTAGTAATCCTTCTGGCTCTTTGAAAGACTTGTGAAATCACACCTCTGGATACATATTTAAAAGTGGACATGATAAAAGTAATTTGATAGCTATTGAATAATTATTTTCTAATTATCAACATTAAAACCACTACAAATCAGCATTTTTTTTAGAAAGAGGATATTTGCAAATGGAGGTCAGATTTATCAGCAGAAAAAAATTAATTCACTATCTTATCATCAGTGACATTGAGCGGATGAGGTGTTGCAGTTGCAGCAATGCTTGATAGGAAATGTAGAAGCAAAGATAATTTACCACCCAGAATAGCAAAGATGGTTGTGTTATACCTAATTCCATGCTTATAGGAATGTGCTAAGCGCTTCATGAACATCACTTCACTTAATCTAAACAACAGCCATATGGCGCAGTTTCTTTCATTATCACCCTATTAAAATAAGCAAAGGGAAGCTTAGAGAGTCTATGTAACTTTGCCAAGGCCAAATACCTGGTATGTGAGTGGGTGACCATCTGACTCTGTACCTGAGCTGGTAATCGTTATACTGGGATGCTCTCAACAGAAGTAAATGGTTAAAATGTCAGGACAATTTTTTATGTCTACTTGAAATTGGAAAATAACTTGGCAAAGCCTGTGGCTATCCAGTCAGCAATAACCATATGTAGTCGTTACATGCGATGTAAAGATTCAGATAGGAAACATTAAGACCATCTCCTCTGATTTCATTGACCTGAGATTTTTCCTTCCTGGGGCGTTTTAGGGGGTTGAGAAGGGTTATAGAGGACTGTTACTTACTGCTGCTCCCTCATATTAAATCTCTAGTTAATCACAGCTTTCCCAACCTCAAGAAGACCCAGCCCTCAGCAACCATCTGACAACTGTCAACCAGGAAAAGCATATTTTTGGTGCCACAGGTTTAGAGGAACTTGTTAAATGTAAACACCCACTTTGTTTTCATTCTGTGGAATAGGTAGAAAGGGGCAGGGAGTTTCCAGGGTTGATTCAAACAATATTGACAGAACTACTTACCATCTGATACAGACATGTATAAAACTTAGTTCTTTTATACATATTTGGCATCAAATATTAGAGTCAAAATTCGTTTTTAAGATACTGTTACATGTTCTGATGGTTCATAGGAAATTAGTCTAAGTGTTGTATATGTATACTCAGTCTAGTCTATGGCTTATAACTTTTTTTTTCAGATTACAGTGTTCTTATACTATTTTCTTTTAGATCACAGTGTACTTATTGGAAAAAAAAGGAAATGGCTAAGAACAGTGTATATATGATGACAACTTATATGCATTTTTATTATATAATTCTTAGTTCTGTCAAAAATATGGCAATCTTTGTAGAATTAAAAAATTGGGCAATTATTATATATTTCTTAAAAATTTTGGTTATAATTGCCCTGAAATCATTTAGCATATATTAACAAAACCCTTCTATTCATGCGGGCCTTTTCCTGGAGAATGGGAAAAATTTAAAGTCAATGGAAATATAAAAATGTATTGAAGATTAAATATGCAGCTAATTCTCCTGGATTTTGGATTCACTGTATATGTTCATATAACAAATTTAAAAATTGGATTGTTTTATAGGTTTCTTATACTGCTAATTTTTTGTATCATATTATCATAGGAGACCTTTGATCAATAAATGACAGATATTTGTTTATACTGAATCTTTATTATGTACATTACCTCATAATTAATTGTGAAAATAAAGTTTATTGTTTCTAACAGGAAAAAATAAAAAGATAAAAGCTGATTTCAAATAATACAGGAAGATGTACTTGATGCAATTAATTTTTTTTTCATCATTTCTTAATTCAATGTGGTTGTATTTTATTTTTTTTTGTTTTGGGTTGGGGATATGCAACCGAGATTCTTCATCTCTCCTCATGTAAACTGTAAATACCTTGCATTGGCATATTTAGTAAACTCTTTTAACAAAAATAAATAGATAGATAGATAGATACCTTGCATTGGCATATTTAGTAAACTCTTTTAACAAAAATAGATAGATAGATAGATAGATAGATAAGAAAGACAGGGGATCCTTTAAAGTTGAAAAACAAGGACCATGAGTAGGAGTAGCCCCTACCCGGCCAGCACTGAGAGCGGGCACCTGGGTGCTTCGTTCCCTGGGCGCCCCTCCTCTGTGCTTGTTGGCTCTGACTCTCCTCCAGCCTCCTGCTGCCCTTTCCCTTGAAGTCCTCGTCTACCTTCTCATTCTTTGACTTAAGAATAATTAGTTCCCAAAGGACAAGAGCTACAGCTTCTTTTTGTTTGTATAGCAGATTTGTACACTGAAAGTTCTCAGTAAATGTTTGTAATTATTAAATTGAATGTTGGAATAGGAAGGACAAAGAGCCTAAATTTTTTTTTTTTTAAAAACCTGTTGATTTGCCAAGGGATTCTCTTCTTTGTATTTAATTTTTCACAGGTACTGAGGTGGCTATTTTTTTCTTGGCTTGACAGGCCGTTTGGGTACAAACACCTGTGGTTTTATGCGTGATTGTGCCTGGTTAGAAGCCTCATTGCTTTTGTTTTCTTTCCTGTCCCCTCCCTGATTAGGTTGGAGGCGTGGCATCTGGACTCAATCATGTTATCACCAACGACCTGACTGCCCAGAGGCTGCTGCACGTGAAGGGTCGGAGAGTGGTCAGGGCCACAGAAGTGCCCCTGAGCTGGCGCAGTTTCAACAAGGGGGACTGCTTCATCATTGACCTTGGCAGTGTAAGTTTTATATGCACATGTGGACATCAAAAGAAAAGTAAATTGTCTTCAGGTCAAATCTGATGTTCATGTCAAGGAAGATAATTGTTTTTTCTACACACTGAAAAGAGGTCATGTTGATGAGAGATGCAATCATATCACGCAAGTAATTGGCTAGTGTTTAAATGGCACAAAGTAGGACTTCAAAGTTTTTATTTTCTTTGCCAGGTTGAGAATGGCATAGTGATTTAGTTCTTCCTACCATAGAACAGAAATTGAATAATTTTTTTCATATATTTCCCCTTCTTTCTGAACAGAGCTTCCTCTAATTATTTTTGTCTCTAATTGTGTATGGGAAAACATTGCTTGAGGGGAAAATTGATTCCCCCAGAGAGCAAAAGTTCTAGAGTTTCAAATGGGCACAGTATGAGTCTAAGCAGTCTGCCCAAAGAGTTATGGGCAATTTCCCTTACACACATACATACACTCAGATATGTGCCACACTACTTGACACTTTTTTAGGTATCTTTGGTTATTAGAAGAACAGGCACAAGTACGACTATCAGTTATCATCCTAATTGGATGGGCAATGGTATATCTTCTTCGAAGAAAAGAGGTATACTTACAAATTATTATTATTGTGACAAAGAAGTATTATTTGGAGGTCTGCTGCTAGACTCTGGTAGGTGTATATAAGTTGTGTCTTTATATCTTTGTAAGGTTTTAAAAGTAGAAATAAAGGGCATTTCCTATCACTGCAAAGCCATGTGCAAAGGCAGAAAAGGCAGGAAAGCACAGAGCTGGTTAATGACGGCCTTCTCCTTTTCCTCGCGATTATCATTCTCATCACATCCCATAAATCTGCATTCACATCATCAGCCCTAACATTTCTGGGCTGAGCATTGTACAGAGGCTTGAACTGACCTGCATGGTTCAGTTAGCACGAGGCATGGACGGGCGGTGGAACGTGTTCAAGGTTGTGCAGTCAGTAAACGGTGAAGCCAGGATTAGACCCTAGGTCCAGTGTGCCGATTCCCACCAGAACATTTTGTTTCATCGCTGCTTCTTGGGCAGTATTTTGGGGGAAAGCATCAGACAGAGGCCAAAAGAGTTTATTTATGCATAGAGAAAGGACACTAAAGATTTTGAAAATGAAGCTACACAAAATTCTGTCTAAGCATTATTTATTTAGCGGCAGCACAGAGATTCCATGCGCTTAGTTATAAATGGTTTGGAAAATGACCCCAAGCTATAAATCTCATTGCATTCTCAAAATTAGGTTACACCTATGGTTTTGTTACCGCTAATATATAATTGAGCTGTCTTGGATCACACCAGCTTGTGTGCACAGCTGAGATCATAATACGCCCAAAGTAAAATTCTTGGAATCACACTTAGACATCTGCACCCGGAACGGCAGCCCTCTTACCCCGCATCTCGCACGTTCATGAAAAATTCCTTTCCCACTTTAAATGCTACCCCAGTCCCTTCACCAGGCCCAACTACCAGTGCCTCAGATCAAGGCAGAAAACAAATTCTGTTTCATCCCCCCATTCCCCTGCGACCGAAACCACCATTTAAACAGATGGATGACCGCATGTGTCATCGGGCCACACAGTCCCCAGAACAGCGACACCCTGTCTCTCAAGGCCTGGGCACAGTCATTAATCATCTGTCTTAACTTTCATCTCAACCACTTACATTTTAGAACCTTTTATCCCCTTTTTAAAGAACTTTTACATATAAGGTGGTATTTTTCATAGAAAAAGGGGGTTACTTGTTTTTTATTCAGCTTTACTAGTTTTAGGTTCTCACCTATAAAAGTTAGGCATTTGATTAGATCATCTCTAGGGCCCCTAAGTGAGAGATACTACATTACAGTGGTAATGTAATTTATCACTGCCACCACTTAAAAATATTATTTCCTTTCTAAAGAAACACATTATGGGTAATGTACTTGCTCTATAAATGCAGCAATCCCTTTATCATGAATAGTGTTGAATTCAACTTTTCAGCTATCTCCTCTTTGGTATTGAGCAAGGCTTTAACCTCTTTGAGCTTTAACTCCCCTTCACTTAATTTTTTTATCTTGACTCTGGTTTCTAATGGCATTTGAAACCTTCGCTGGCTATGATGCAGTCTCATGTGATACACAGTCACATCTGGAAATGACAGTTATCATCCCAGCTTCACAAGAGGAAAAAAAGCCTTAGAATGTGTGAGTAAGTCACTTGCATTGATACAGGTTGAGTGAGGACCTGGGATAGGATCTGGGTTTTTCTACCCCTAGTTCCCATCTTTTTCACTACACTAAGTGAACTTAGCAGTATATAAAGTGGTATAGCTCTCTAAAAGAATATCTTGTAACAGTTTCAGAGTCTGCTAAATCAGAATTGAATATGTCTAACCTGGCTTAGAATTCACTGAAAGTAATACTATTAGTGAAATCATTTATTTTGTTGAACAAGTATGAATTGAGTTTCCACAATGGGCTAACAGTTGGGTGCAGTGGAAGGTTGTCATTCTAGTGATGAATGCTCCCTTCCCATAGGTAAGGCTGCCCAGTGGGTATATGACCCACAAATCCAGGCTCATAAAAAAGGGACAAGGTCTCTTTTATGAGGTTCAAGGACCTTCATCTGTTTAATAGAAAACTATCCTTATTTTATATAGTTAATTATCTTTAATAGCCCTCAAGTTGCCACTTGATCTCATGCCTGGTTGGAGACATTTGGAATGACTTTGTTGCAGAGATCCCAGAGTTCGATGAACTCTTCTGTTGTGAAAGTTTCCTATACCACAAAGGGATAACCCAGTAGGAATCAAGCACTGGCTTACCAAGAACATTGGAACAAATACCATATGATCTGTCTTTATGTTAAATAACCTTCAACCAGTTGGTACATTGCCAAAAAATTACTTACTGATGATAAGATATTGTAGTTACTGTAGTGACTTCATTTTTGGGTGTGTCAGAGAAGGCTAAGAAGGTATGGAATCAAAATTCTACCGTAACATTTTAACCTGAGTTAATTATTTTGTGACCACTTTCTGCTTTAGACAGCACAAAAGGAGTCTGCTTTAGACAGCAGTTTTCTTCACGTTTGTTTGAATTACTCAGGTATGAAAAAGGCAGGTTAGACATCTGAAGCTGTCTCCCAGCTAAAGCCAGCTGGCCAACATGAAGGTTATCGATTTAACATAAATCCTATGCCTTGATTGTGTTTGAGGGAAGTTGGCTTTTTTGATAAATAATCACTAGTATTAATATGATATGCCATATACCTTAAAAACATTTACTATGATAGGATTTGAGACTACAGTAAGCACCCCCAGTATATGACAATGTAACCTCCTCAGCCTAAAGCATAAGATTGTAAAATTATCTGTTTAGTCACTTTAAATACTACCAACATTTCAGAGAATAACTTGGGTAAGTTGTCTTATATTTAGTATGTTTCCAGAAAATAATGTAAAACAGAATTGGATGTCAGCAATTTGGAATTTACTAAATCTTTGGAAAATGCTTTTGAACCACATATTTTGATGTTGGTGAATTTGTATATCATTATTTCCTCACTATTTTTAAAGATCTGGAGTATTTGTAGACATTAATAAAATCACATGTAAATATACTGTAACAAAACATCCATAAATAGAGACTGTGACTGAATGATAATGAAAAAAAGCCCATACTCTCAAAGTTTGGCACCTGGAGTTAACTCCCTTAGAAATAGATGCCCAAGTCAGCCACTAGTGGAGAATTAGATTTCACAGAGTGGTGAGTTCTGCGTGTCCTGTTCCCTTGTTAACTTGTTTGGTCAGTTACGCAGCTTTGCCCTACTCCACTTGCTATTTATAATCTATCACCCCTGTCTCGTTGTTCAGTCACGCTGCTTTGGAAAAGCCGTCTGCACTTCCTCATTTCCCGGTTGGTCTTCAACCCATGTTTTCTGACTTTCACTCCCACTGTTCCTTTGAAATGGTTCTTCCTGTGGGCATATTGCCTTCTGACAGATCCAGTTGACATTTTGATCATTATCCACTTGTCCCCTATGCTGTCATTGACACACTTGATTACTCCCTTCTCTGTAAGCCTCACTACTCCCCTAGCCCCCTGGCTCCCCTCCCTTTCAAGCCACTCTTTCCATTCTTCTGAACATGGTCTGCCCACACCCTCAAGGTTTTTGTGTTTTTTTTTCAGGATTCCACTTGGATCATAGCTCTCTGTACATTCTTCCTGAGCAAACTCGTCTTCCCCCAAAGTTTCAAATACTGACCCACTGGTAAATCTTAAATGTATAGCCTGGTGACAACCTCTCCCTTAGCCAGGATTTCTAACTACTTCCCAAATACTTTAGCTTATGTGCATCATGGGAACCGCAAACATGACAAGTCTAAAAATGGAACTCATCAACTTCACCCTCTCATTCCAAAATGACTTCTCCTTATTGTCCTTGTCTTGGGAATAGTGCCACCACTCATTCAGGCCTTCAAACCCCAAATCCAGAAATCATCCTGACAATCTCTCCACAATGCTGCACGTACAGTCAATCACTGCACCTAGTCTGTTCTTTTTCCTAAGCGTCTTTTGAGTCCTTCCTGTCCTCTTCACCACCACAATACCCCATGCATGGTATTTCCCCTAAGTTGTCATGCTTTTGCTTTTGAGCACATTGTTTCTCTGTCTAGAATACTCTCCCCACCCTCATCCCCTTTCTACAGCAAACATCCTCTTACCATCTCATCCTTAAATTTTCAACTCAGATACTGCCTTCTTTACAATGTGTTCCCTGGCTTCTTCTCCTACCACTGCCCCGTGTCACACTCTGTAGAATTCAGCACACCCTGTCTTAACTTTCTTATCAAAACGCAGAGACTTGCCTCTAGCACTCTTCACATTGCCTGTTTGTTCACTTACTAGCCTCACTTCCTCACGTGGTTCCTAGTATATGGCCCGGAACTTAATATCACTCAACAAATGTTTCAACAGATAGATAGCTGTCCATCATAAAACAGTC